TTAATTAAGTGTCTGGGCGAGGCTAAATACATAGTTGTGTATTTATAATCTCATAGTCCACTATTTGCAGCATTCATAAAGAAAACGAAATACATAACTAAATACATGCAGAAACTAAAACATCCCATTCTAAGTCTGAGAGTGTGGATGATGTTGCTACTATGCTCGACTCTTCTTCTGCCTATCACATAGTAAGGGAGCTCGCAACCATTGATGTTCTTGCTATTGTCAAGAGTGTATTGTCTTTGTTATTGCCGCTATTGCCGTACTCATCTCATTTGCCTATCATGCCAAACAAGAATTCACAACCACTACCGATGTTGCCACCACTTCTATTGTCACTGTCATGAGTGCTGCTGCTGCTATGCTCATCTCTTCCTTTGCCTGTCCTACAAAACAAGAGTTCACAATCATTGTTGCTGTTGTCACCACTATTGTTATTGTCATCATGAGCGCCACCACTACCATGCTCGGCCCCTTCCCTACCTATCACATAGAATAGGACTCATTGCCGCTGTCAATGTTGTCACTGTCGTCATTGTTGTGGTTGTCGCTGTCATGATTTCTCCTTCTTCTGCTTGTCTCCCTCCTCCATTTATTCTTCTTGGGCCCTAATTTCTTTGATCTTGTGTGCTTTTCATTAAATAGAATATTCATGTTATAAAATATATATAATTTAATAATGTAATTCAATACACTATAAATTCACAGAAGAAATATGTTTACATCGAATGTATGCATTCATTAAGACATTTCGACTATAATCATATCAAATATACATATCCTACCATATAGTATTGAGGCCTTATCAAGAGTGTTGATCAAGGATCAAGCCACCAAAATCATTTGATCATTGACCTAAATTTCATCAATTATTTGTGCATTAACGTTAGCAACTAATCAAGTACATTGAATATTAAAATCGTGAATTCATTGAAGGAATTTATCTCTAATTGATTGATGAATATGACATCATTGAGAACAAGAAAAATTGTTAGAACACGAATCACCACCTTTCTAGACTAAACTATATGCAATATTAGCTTCCTCTTGGTTCAAAAAACTTGAGGAAGAATCTCCGAAAGATGTGCCCATGCTCCAACTAATTAATCTCTATTAGGTCATAGTCGTCAAATAATCCATCGACACTAACCTTTTGAATTATTAATTAATTTTGTCAATTTTTAGACTTCTTAAGAAGATCCAAAGATAGCCCACATCATTAATGTCCAAGGAGAACCTTTGAGGCCAGCACATTACATGGAAATCCTCTTGAATGTTAAGAACTTTAATGATTGTCACCATGATGTTGAAACTATAGATTTTTATTTTAATCTGAATTATTATTTACTTTATTAAAATTTTATGTAATTTTAAGTTATGAGACTACTTTACTCAATCACAATTCTTTTGACTTTTACAAATCATAATTTGATTAATAAAATAGTCTCTAATCATTTACATATCAAATAGAATTCTATTTTCATCCAAATCTTGTTCCTTGGGTTGGCAACATCATCTTGATATTAACACCTGAATTTCTTCCTTTTGTAAATTTTTAAATAGATTTTCTCTCTATTCTTTAGTTTTAAAATAATATAATAATTATATTCTTAGAGAAAAAATTAAATTTTAATTAATATTATTTTACATTGTTGTCATCTAATCCAAATTTGTTCACTATTTTTGAAACATTTTATTGAACCATAATTGATATAGTTTTACCAAAATACTTCTAATTTATTTTAATGATTAAGTCATGTCAACAACTCTTCAAGGAGCAACCTTGGAAGAACCAACACCCCTTTGTTGGTCAACAAGAACAGGGCACAACCTTGAATTATATGTTTAAACCTTGAAATTCTCCTATAAATAGGGAGATAAACTCTTATGTGAGACACATTTGGTAAAATTTTCTTGTGTGAAGAATTTCTCCTCAATTCTTGCCCTTATCTTAGAGGGAGGCTATGAGGGTCAATTCACTCTTTAGGGAGAGGCCGTAAGGGTCAACAGCCCATCTTTGGAGAGGCCGTGAAAGTCAATTGCCATTTTCGTTCCACACATCCACCCTTCTCACTCTTTCATTTCATTTTTAACCACTTTCTAAAATCATTGAAGATTTACCTTAAGGTTTGAAAATCAACAATCATGAGATTACATCTCTCCATATTAAGGTGTGCTCACTTTTCATCTTTTGTAGTATTTCTGATCTCACTATTAATTCTTTACTTGTAATAACACTTGCGTGTCTCATAGGCTAGCCATGAAATTATTAATTGGTGATCCTAAAACCCTAGTCCATATTTGATCTAATTCATTAAAACCTAGACATCTTGAACCATTGGATAGGAGATCCGATTTCCAATCCTTTGCAAGATTCAATTAAGTCAAAATTAGTTGCCACTAGACTCTAAAATTCATGTGAATTTTTCTAGTCTCCTTGTGAGTTGGTCTAGATTGATTTAATTACAATTGATTAGTTTGTCCAACATCATAAGGTCTAGATAATGTGGAAAGAGGTTTAAGCATGATAAATAGAAATAGATTTGCTTGATTTTCATACTTTTCAGGCTAAGTTCACACTGAGTGAAAGCCAAAGATGAGCAGAGGCATATTGGGTACTTATGAGTTTAAGTTTTCCTTTCATTGCACTTTATCTTTATTTTTCTTAACCCATCATCTAGGTGTCATGGAGGTGACAAGAATGAAGTCTTAAATCTAGTTTTTACCAGTCTATAGACCAATTTGGCATTCATTTTCAAGTACTTTGTTTATGGGTAATAGAGGGGTAGAACAATAGTGGTGTTTTTTAATTAAATATATACTTTTATTCGATTTGATTTTCTATTTCACTTATTCTATCACGTGGGTGATAGATAAAAGATGAAATTAAGTATTTTTCATCTATATTTTTACCAATGTTGAATGGATTTTGAGCTTAGTTTCCATCCACTACTATACTCTATTCTAAGGTGATAGGCAAGGATGAGTATTCACAATTATTTAATATTTTAGTCATTCTTTGCACAATTGTAATTTTATTAATGAAGTTTAACTTGATTAAAATCATCACAATCTCTCTATTTTTATATATTTCTCTAATTTTATAAGGATTTGAATCAAAATCATTTTCCCATCTTACTATCAGCAGATAATTTGGGTTTTAATTTTCCTTTCAGAATATGTTTTTTTGATTTTAAGGTTTTTGGGTTAAGCTTAATTTGTTAGATGACTTGAATCATTTTATTTCGAAATCTTTTTTATTATTATCTGAATTCAACTCAAAATCATCTTCCCGATTCACACTAGTGGAGAGACCCCCATTAGCTCTCATATTTTCTCTCTCGTCCCCTACTTTTCTTGATTTTTGGCTTATTTTTCATGATTTATTTTCCTTTTATTTTTTGATCTTTCTGCCATTTTCTTTGGAAATTCTTTCAGGTCTAATTTCATTAATCAACTCTAACACTTTAGCATACATCAAATTTTGGAGATTCAAAGCTTAGAATTTGGTGACCACATCATCAAATATTGAAGACCAAAACCTAGAGAAAATAATTGTTCTTCTTTTATTCTTTATTATTTCATTTTACCTCAATAGATTGTTTGGAATGAAAATTTGATATTGAGATTGACCAAAATCCATGTAGATGACTTGAATTCAACAAAACTTATTTCTTAAAAAACAATTATTTTCAATTCGGTTTATAAATATTTGAAAATTGATCACTTTATTTCCAATGACCAAAGTGATATGAAACTTTTGGTGCCATTGTCAGGGATGATTTTGGTTGATAAGATATTAATGTATATTAGTTCTTTAAAAAGCTTGATTATGCACTATTTTTGTTTTCTTTCTTCTTTCTTGAGGAATTAGAAAAGAAAAAAATAAAAAATTGAGCAAGCTCAACGTAGGAGCCAAAGGAAGAACTTTTCTTGAGGATTTAATGAAACTACTCAGGTAACTGATACAATCTCATTTGTTTGGGGTTTTTCTTTTCTCTTTTTGGAGACTGATGATTTTTCATCTAAAAAAATCAAAGTACTTGCATTTTGTCTTTTGCTATTTGATTAGTTTTAGTTTCTTAAAAGTTCTTCTCTTTCTTTGTTGACTCATGCTTCTTAATTCATATAAAAAACCTAAAAAAATGATTATTTCCTTATACTTCAAAATATAATTACATTTTATGTTTAAAATTTACTTTCTTTGGTTTCTCCCTTTCTTTCGTAAATTTACTTATTTGATAAAAAGAGGGTCTGATTTGCAACATATGCATCGTAGGAGATCATTGAAACAACCATTTCGAGAGGTCATTCCTGAAATTAATATAATCAGTGAGGTCAGCTTTCACTTGTTTCCTCAGATTGGAAAGGGCACCTCTAGAAGTCCTTTGTCCTTCTCAGGTCTGGGGAGGTGACCACCAAAGCTGCAGCAGGAACAGGGGAGGCCAAAGAGGAAAAGGTGGCATTTTTCTGCTCTTCCCGTAAACTTGGAACTTTTCGGACGCTTCAAGAGCGATTCAAGATGGTTCGAATTGGGACGGTGGACGTTCATGGAAGCCGAAAGCTGCCGGAGGATCTGGGTCTCACCCTCTCAGGTCAGCTCGTTGCGCTGCCCTTGGTCTGGTGCAGGATCTCAGTAGAGCCGTTGGGCTTGTTCGCCAAGACAGATTCGAACAACAAGATTTTACCTTCGTGCACAATATCCACAGTACATGGACTAGAGGGATGATGCCCTTCACACACACTGGAAGAACTTATTCAAACGCTACACACCAGATAACCACCTTTGGAGTACGAAAGAAGACGGCGTCTGGCACGGTGACTGCATCACATGAAAGCGGGCTACCTACGTTCCTAGGTATACTGTCCTCTTCAGGGATGCGACCTCTTGGTCTCCACGGTTTAAAGCCTGCCAATTAACGATATATTGTTGCAAGAGAGAGAAATACAGACGGATAGATAGATAGAGAATTGGAGCGAGGGGGGGGCGAACCCGTCTATCCGGTGGCGGCGCTGGGCGGGGGCTTGTCGAGGATCTCGGCGCCGATGGCCTTGCTGAACAGGTTGCTGCCCGGGTTAAAGACGCTCGGCGAAACGTTCTCCTTAGCGTCCGGCGACGGCGTGCTCGCCGCCGCAGAGGCAGCACCACCCTCTGCCGACCGAATCCAATGCGCACAGATAGTCAGAAATAGAAAGTACACGGGTCATGAGCCCCAAGTAGCAAAGAAGAAAGGCCCAACCTTTGGGAGAGGTGGGGGGATTCTCGGCGGATAGCTGCTTCAGCTTGTTGATGATCATCTTTATTCTGATACTACTGCTGCTCCAGGAACGTTGCCAACTGTCGATGTATATAACAACATGCCAGAAGACTGGGTTATCACCTAACGTCAGCAAGGTGAGCTGAATAATGGCGTATATAGAGAATGGGGCCCGTGCCTTCGAGCAAACGGACAGGCAGAGGATAAGAAATGTTGACCACCCACGCGATGACGGTGGAAAGTATTTGTCCTCCCACTTGCTTGACTTTTTTGTAAACAGGGACCCACAGAAAGTATTTCTCCTCCCCCGTACTTGACTTTTTTTGAACAGGGGCCCACAAGACGTGCACCGAGCGTACACGGCTCACTTATATATCGTGGAAAGGGCTCGTTTCATCTAAGATTCGACTAACCCAAAGGGCTGACAAACGACGCATGGATAAACGAAAATAACTAGAGAACGCCTAGAGTAATGAAACACAAACTAGAACCCCTGCCTCTTGGTTTATATTTTTGGCCCACTTGGACAAAAAATAAAGACTTAAGAGTAACACTTTTCCATCAAAATAACGTACCATGTCTTTATGATAATACACAATAACCTACTAATTAGGTTGAGTTATTGCTATGAGCCAATGCCTCATAAAGAGAAGAATGACGAATAATTTATGCCCTTGTTCGTCAATCTTCTTATCTTCTAGCATAATATATCAGTAAGATGTTTCTGTCCGCCCCTCCCTTCACCCCCCTTGCCCCAAGTCCCACTTTGATACATGAAGTTGTATTTTAAATATGGGCATACAGATACATAGAAGGTAATTAATGCTGGAAGAACGCCTAAAGTTTGACAGTTCTAAAGAGCCAGTGTAGACTTGGTTTTGATTTATAGTCCAAAATGATATCTAGTTCAAATTATTATAATATTTTGTACAAGACTTCATAATTATGTGCTCTATTATGGATTGTGTTTAAGGAAGTAGTGGAGTTCATACAAAAATAATGAAACAATTCACCTTTTTAAGCCAAAGATTAGTGTGTCTTATACAATTATTTATCCTTAGATCTTACCAAATGGATACAAAAATATGTACAAAATATGGTTCTAAATAAAATAATTTCAGACTTTTATCATCTTATAACATTTTTTTCACAAAAATATGAGCCATAAATACTATTCACGGGGAAATGAAGAAACATATATGCTATTTCTTTTATCCATAATATTATCATAACACCAATCCACTTATATGTGCAGATAAAATGGAGGACGAGTAAAGTTATCTAGATATGTAAATCTCAAATGAATCGTGCTAGACTAAATAAGAGTTTCCAAACTTAAATTCAAGAACACTATTGTTAAGTCAAGTATTAAATAAGTTTAAACAAGGAAAATCAGAGTTCCGATGTTGCGATGGTGGTTGTCAAGGAATTCTATAAGATTAGGAAGGTTTCCAAGGGGTGTCTGTGGCCTCAAAGGCTATTTTTGGACGTGCATGACATGGGCACTCTCCAAATTCCTGTGTGAAGTCTAGAAAATGAAGGTAGGCCGTAGCATATCACCCAACAAAGTGAAAAGATGGTGAACATGGGTCTTTGATGACTATCACCTAATAGAGCTGAGATTGATGGAGGTAAAGTGCATCTCAAAGAGCTTCATCCTTAAGTCTATACAACAAAATGAGGCCCTTTATTGCATTTGGAACACTCTAAAGAGATTATAACAAATCTCTTGGTAGATCACACTATTCTTGACAATGGCTCTTTCATCAACTAATTAGAGATTTCTTTTAAAATTTCATGATCTTTTATTTATAATCCTTCGTCAATTGTAAATGATAATTCTAGAATATTGTAGATGAAGATCCCATCAGCAGTAGACCATCTTTGGTGACTATTTCATTGATCAGCTTTTTATAAGAAAATCATAGAGTTAAAACATAATAAAGTTGTAATTTTTGACATTCATGGTATTCTAACATCTATTGTTCACCCATCTATGTAAAGGAGATAAAATAATTGACTATTATACCATTGAAATAATAAATGAGATAATTGACTATTTTTGGTATTCTTCTGTTGACATTTCCTGCCAGCGGTTTAGTCCCACATTGATTATTTTGGGAGGTTTGACATCAATATAAATCTGGGCCATCTTGAGTAATCAGTGCCTTCTCCTAAAACGAAAATGGCTGGGACTACATGAGGAGAAGATGGAACTAGGTGGTGTATCCCTACACACACACATGTCGTGTATTATTATGTTGCCCCACGCACGCCCCCCTCCTTGGTAATGTGGAAGAGGTATGACGTGCACGTGTTTATGGTCCTTAGTCATTTGAGCCCAGCTTATGGCTTCCCTAATTGAGTTACCCACTCGTGTGAGGTGTCCTCTAGGTTAGTTGTCTAGAAACTCCCCTCTTTTTGCAATTTTTTATTTATTTTATCTTTCTTCTTTTTTTACCCAAAATACAAATAGAAAAATTATATAAAATCACATAATTAACCAAAAAAATTACATTAGTCACATAAGAATTATTTTTCTCTATTTAATGTAAATCTAAAGCTTTTTTTCATGAGTTAATATATAAAACTAATAGTTATAATTATTAACTCATGATAATGACAATGAAATAGAAAATATTCATCGATTAGTTATAAATCTCAAGATAAAATACTATGGATAATAATTACTATAATAGAAAGTTTAAAAATATGAACTGTAGGTTATTAGACCATCGACAAAGTAATGAGAAGTTTTTAAAACTAATATGATTATGTTCAAATACTAAAATGACATAGACATAATAGAGTTAATATTGAAATAAGTTATTTTCATCCACATCATTCACTGAAGTTCAAGAAGAAGTCTATACTCAATCTTCTATAACACAACAATTGTACAACAAAAGAAAAATTCAAAATTATATCATAATCATTTGGAGCAATCTACAAATCATTTAACTAAACTAGAGGTTGTCTCTCTCCATTAAGCCCTAAGGTAACTTGAGTGGTGAGTAGAGAAAAGGTAATGTTAAGGCATGATGATAAGAGTCATAATATGTTCATGGAGAGTGTTGTTCTTCAATGAAAAGTGTGCATTGACTTAAGCACGTGGTGTTGAGAGTCAAGACTTGCACATGAGGGATGAGATATCTACAAAGATCAAAATAGTGTTATTTGGGATAGCTAAGCCTATGGAATTAGTTGTATTTCTAGACTAAAATAGTACAAATTTGATGAAAGTATCTTGCAATACTTGATTTAGCCAAAAAAAATGATGCATTAACATAAAAATATTTATTCTTATCATCAATACGAGTGAAAGAGAAACTCATGAAAAAAAGAAGAGTCTTAGGTCAATTTACTTTGAGAATGTGTTAAAACATATGTCAACATATATATACAAGTAAAAAATCAGAAGTAAACTACAAAACATAAGAAACCAATTCACCCCCTCCCTTTTCTTAGTACTTCACTTGGATGCATTGAACCCAACAATTCTCACTCTCTACCTTTTAATAGTGGATTGATATAATTATCAACCCCATTATAATATTGTGTTGTCAAAGTTAGGGTTGCAACCACTTTCTTCTTATATTTCTTTGCATTCCTAATTGTCAAAGGTAGGAGACAACCAAGTTGAAGAGGTTGGAAATCTAAGTGCCCACTGACCTATTTGAGGAAGTGTTATTAGGGGTAAAACATAAATATGCAAAAGTACTTCATACTAATTTCTCACTTATTCTTTCAATTTTATGACAGCCTTATTACACCTTATAGAATGGCATACAAGGTACCTTGAAACATGTAAATAAGTCAATGTAAACATGTATCAGACTAGAATGAAAAAGAAAATAAAAAACATGGTTAAATATGAGATTTTCCAAAAAAGTATTCATTTTTCCTTGTAGGGTTACTCTAACCACTCTCAATTCCCACATAGTTTAAGAAGAATTTTCAATAGACTTCATTGAAAGGCTACTTACATCAGTTGGATATAATACAATTTTTATGGTGTTATTTAAATATAATAACTTCATCCCTCCTAAGTAACCTTTTACTACATAAGAGTTGGGTACTATTTTAACTCAAGGTCATTAACCTACAATGACCTACCCAAGTCAATTGTGACTAATAGATCTTGAATTTGCATCAACATTTTTTAAGAAATTAGTTCAAGGGAACACAATGTAAAATAAGTTCTTTGTGCCACCCTCAAATAAACTGTCAATAAAAAATTGTCAACATATATTTAAAAGTATATCTACATTGCACCATATACCCAATCTTGGAGTATTCAGTTACATTTGGATGATAATATTACATTATTTTTTTCACGTATCTACAAGAATCAATTCTAAACTGATCTATGATGGAGACCCCACGACCCTTTTATAGTATGGATCTCCTAGTCCTCTTGTACTTGTAGTTGATCAACAAGTACAAGAGATAAATCAAATCCTTTCTCTCTTTAAATGTAATGTTTAATTTCATAAGGGTGAGTTGGTTATCTTTGTCTTTATCTCTACAAAATGAAGTCCTTAGAAAATCAAAAGAAAAGTTGGGCCCCAAATTCTTTGGACCTTACGAAGCCCTATTTCACATTAGACATGATGCCTATAAGTTGAACCTTCTTGCCCTTAACACTTTCCTCTTTTTATTTTATATTTTTCAACTTCAAATTACCATGGGACCTACTAATTGTGATTAACTCTTCCCCTAAGACTTAGCTGGAGACATGGTATGACACTGTTGTCCACAAGATATGCTTGGAATGAGGTCATCCCTACCAAATAGGGATCATCATCAAATGAGAACACCTTCTAGAGTTCAAAGCTTCTTGGGAGCTGGCAACTTTCATTCTCACCTCTGGTATTGATATGATCTAGCTACAAAAAGACAAAAAAATTATCAATTTGTTGAGTTTTTAGGAAGGTAGATTCATCAAAAGGTTAGAAAATAAATTGAACTATTAAGTTTTCCCCTAATAATGTGAGGGTACCTCTCAAACCATCTCCCCAATAGTGACTATAATCCATTGAGAATTTAGTCCATTCTGCATCCTCCATCATGTTTCTTTTCCCCAATTTTCTTGTTTTTCTCTTGATTAAGAAGTTTGCTTTTTGGGATCTTACCACTCTCATCCATCTTGCATTTCCTTGCATGACAATTAGGTCTATCAACTAGGTAGCCTTTTATTTCAATCTTATCTATACTCTTGATAAGTCTTCATTATCATGAGTTAATAATTAGTAAATAATATAGTTTTAGCCTTAACTCATGATAAATAGACTTATATTTGTGTTAAATTTTGAACAATGGTTTTCGGTTCATTAACGTGAATTTTTGGCTAATTATGTAATTTTTTTATAAATTTAGATGATTTTTACAATCTTATTTTTGAGATAAATAAAGAAAATAAAATTAAATTAAATATGGCAAAAAGGGGGGACCCGTCAGCCAACTAGGCCCACAAGCGGGTCGAAAGCGCAGTCAAGGGGAGCTATGACTAAGGGCTTGAGCGGCTAGGACCGATGGGGGCATGTGTGCACCACTCTCCTTCCACGTCATTGGTGCC